CATAGATTTCAAGACTAGCCAGAGTCAGAGAGGAGAGGGGACAGGACATGCCAAGGAGGATGCCCCGATGGGAACCTGAAACAACTCCAGCTTCGTGCCAGGTCCAGTGAGATGTGGTATTGGCAGTTGAAGTTCTTTAGGATTCTTGTAATTAAGACACAGCCTGTCTTCCCCTGTGAATGAGGAGAAATGGAAGAAAGTGAGGGTACCACATTTACAGTTCCTATGACGGAACTTTTCTGTTTTCCTTGAGCCCCTGAGAGCAACATAGTCTGTGACACTAGGTGGCACAGCTAGCCTTTCTAAAAATCTAGTCTTTGGTAGAAATGTCAAGATTTTTGGAAACCATTCTTTGTGCTATGATAAAGATTGGTTTCTATCTCCTAGAAATTCATGACTTCCCCCATAGACTCTGGATTTCCCTTTGCTCTCTCGTGTGCTGGTTCCTTTGTCAGTGTGCTTGTGTGGTGCCTCGGGTGCCCGGGACCAGGCAGCACACGGTGAGTCGGGCCGCTCTACAGCACCGAGCAGTCTGTGCGGCACTCCCACAATTTGTCCACCAAACCTACTATTGCCCTTTTGGCAAATAACAATTTAACTACAATTTAGATTTAGCCTTTTGAGGTTTTTTTGGCAGCTCCTTTTACCTTCCTCTAAAACACTAAAGCATAATTGTTGTGCGTTTTTTATTTGATCACTATCTCTTAAATCCCTCTATCCTTAAGCTCTGCCTCCCATACGCAGGCCTCTCTTTTTTTGTTAAGCAAATCGTCTGTTATACCAGATATGTGATTTTTAACTTCAGTGAAATTATTCCATTTTTACTTTTATAATGTATTAACTTGCTTTTTAAAAACTCAACAGTGTGAACTGAGATTTGTCCATGTGGTTGGCTGTACCTCAGCTGGAGAGTATTCTGTTTGCATGTATTGCAGTTTATTCAATATGCTGTCACGTGGGTAGTATCCACATTTCTGGGGCTGTCAGCACTGCTCCATCAGCATTTTGCCATGAGCCTCCCGGTGCTCTTGTGAGAGCTGAGTTCATACGAGAGCAGACCTGCTGAGTTACAGAGTTATGCTCAACTCTCTGGTTCCCAAACTGCTGGTTAAACTAATGCACATACCATACCCACCAGCACCGTGCCAAGGCACTGGGTGCTCCCAATCCTTGTCATCTCTTGACATTGTCAGAATTTTTCATTACCACCCCTGGTTGGTGTAAAATGTCACCTTTCATTGAATCTGGTGACAATAACTATCTTTTCTATATTGACCATTCAGCTTTTCTCTCCTGAAATACCCAGTTATGATCTTTGTACAGACTCCTAATACGATGTTGGTCTTTTATTGATACTTTAGGAGTTCTGTATTTAATTCTCACTTACTAGTTCTCTGCTAATGTCCTTTGCATACCTCTTCCTATTTGTACAGCCTTGTCTTATCACCATGACCATGTTAGTCTTTTGATGTAATCATTCTGAATGTCGATATACTATAGTCAGATTGCTACATTTACTTAATGTGTGATCAATGGAATTTATTAGTTGGGTTTAACACAAGAGTATTTAATCCTACTGCAGCAAATTATTATATTTCACATGTATCATTGTATTCATGCTATTTTTCATCTCTTCCTCCCCTTTTAAAAATCCTCAGAAACTGTATGAGCTGAATAACCTCCATGCGCTTATGGCAGTGGTGTCCGGCTTACAAAGTGCCCCAATTTTCAGGTTGACCAAAACGTGGGCGGTGAGTACCCCTCCTAAGTTAACAAAAGGTTAAACTTCCCGTTGGAAGGACAGTTAAGTGCTTCTTTGGTATATTTTGGTAAGGTTAGCATTGTGACAATCAGGGAGGCTTTTTAAAAGTTACTTTCCACCCTGCCCTTTGAGGGCTTGCGTTTTTGCTCTTGAACCCTTTGCCCGGTTGCCAAGTCCTTCTGGACAGGGCCGCTCTCTGTCTTGGAGGCTCCTACTTGTAACTGACGGCACCTCATCGACAGCACAGCAGCACTTCCTGCTCAGTGATGGGAAATCACGACCACTCAAAAGTAGGACTTAGCCATGTGAAGATTATGCTTTGGGGAAGTTTAAGGAGGCTCTAAATTGTAAGTTTCCCCCAAATTGACAGGGTTAGATATTCAGTAATTTTCAGTCAGCCACTCACTTAGGTATTTTCCTTAGGGGTTATTGAGAAACTGAGTGTTAACCGGGCACTGTGTAATGGTGCTCTGTCTTCCTCGCATTGGGCCCTGCCACCAGAACAAGGGCATGGTGGAGCATCTGACCTCTGCACACGTGTACCTTTTTAAATCTGAGTGCAGACACTGGCCTCAAACTTTCCGGATTGTTTCCATGTAGGCTCTATATGAGAAACATTGCAGACTCAACGGAAATTGTCCATCTTTCATGTTATTCCTTAACCTTAGGGAGAAGTGAATTTGTGTTGAAATTCTGTGAAAAGGATTCATGTGTTAAGATGGGATTGACTTTTTAAAACTTTTTAAGTTACTAAAATATAGGTTTGTTTTCATTAGCTTGACAGATGTTTCTCATGAAAACGAGTCAGTTTCTACATGGGAAGAATGTTCGGGTGGCAGAGCTTGTGAACCCTGTAACAGCCCATTTATTGTGTGGAAGCACCTGGGCGAAAGGTGCTTTTTAATAATATGGCCTTATCCATTTTCCTTAAAAGCGTAATTTCTTGGGGAAATGGAAATGATTATACAGTTAAGAAATCTTATCTTTAAAATTTTAGGGGAAAGACTGCTCTGATTTGTGAATGAGATATGATTTCCTCAGTTTTTCTTTTCCTTGAAAATATTTGCATCAGTTCCTCAGATATTTGCACAAAATATAATATTGTTTAGTAACAGCTCTGCTGTTAATATGAATAAAATTTTTGGTGTTTGGGTTCAATTTTAAATGATTCTTTACTGTGCCAAACACTATCTGTTGGCACACAGTTGAGAACAGGATAGGCAAAGTCGTGTGCTCTGTGTTCTCTGTCATAAATTGTGACCGTGCTCTGAAGGAAAACAAAGCAGAGTAACTGGAATAGAGAGGCAAACAGGGCAGTACTGTTATACACAATGTCGTCACAGAATCTCTGATAGTGGCAGTTGGGTAAAAGAAAGACCTGGAGGAAGTGAGGGACCCTGTCGCGCCTCTTTGGGAGAGCTGAGTTCCGAGCAGAATGAGTGGCAAGGACAAAGGCAGTGTCCGCGGGGTGATACAAGGTAGCGCATGGACAGAAGAACAGGTATCTGACGCGGCAGGCCTAGATTCCCAGCTGGGGATAGGTACAGATTTTTTAGATAAGATTTCAAAAGCTCAGGCAACGAAAGGAGAAGGATACATTTTTAGAATTTCTGTCCATCAAACATTATCTTCAGAATCACTGAAGGGAGGCCACAGTGTAAAGGGAATAACATAACAGCTAAGGAATTTGTGTATAATACATATATACTTATTTTTAAGAGCTCTCTATATATATGCATACACATACATACATACATACATACATCAGGAACTCCTACAAAGCAAAAAGAAAAAGGCTAATAGAAATGATCAGACCTAGCATATTTGTGCAAACAGCACACAATTACGGATGCTGTGCAGACCATGCAACCCCTCCATTAGTTTCTTACAGACATTATTTGCATATGTGAAAACATGTTATAGGTAGCAAGCAGACATTGGTATCTAACATTGAGCATGCTAATCATGGGAGTTGAAGGAAGGGACCTCTAGGGGAAATGGTGAGACCGCCGTTTCAGATCATGGGTAAGTTCTCTAAAATGTTAAAGCAAAAGATGCCGTAAAAATCATGTTTTGAAAAGGAAGAGCCGCTATTCAGACATTTTTCTGATAGAAATTATCTGAAGGTAATGTGCATGCTGGAGTTCTTGAAAACAGGTTCTCACGTCAGTCCCAACTGCATTAGCTGTAATCCTGGAAACAGTTGTGGATTAACTTCCAGGATACACGGCCCTGCTATTTGCCAAATGACCGCCTTTACCTCCTTGCCCTCATCTTTAGTCCTTAAACTTGCCAGTTCATTCTGGAGGAGAGTCTATAATTATATAACTGGAAGTGGTTTTGCCTTCTCTAAAACAGCACTGGAATTTTTGGGCTTAAATAAGCTAAAATTTTATTACATAAAATAATGTACGATTACTAGGATTACATACTAGCTTCAGAGATCTAAAGAAAAAAATTTTTTCAGAGTATTTAGAATTATTCAAAAAGGTATATTTTTTGGATTTTAGATCTTATTCCTTTCTGACATGAGTGGATCCTCCCTGTGCTCTCCTTGTACGCCCCTTCATCTCCAGTGACCGCAGAGGCACAGAACTGCTGCCTGGAAGCCTCTGGACCGCCCATTAACCTTGTCAGAAATCCAGACAGTGCAGGGACTCACTGGGCTCTGCGGTCACGCTAGGCCCTGCCACGATGGAGTTTGTCAAGAAAAGGTGTTATTTCTTAATGCTTGAGCTAAATCTCTGAGGGACAAAAGGCCAATCGATCACAATAACAGTACATGGGTGTCTGAGCCGAATATGAACATAATATTTCTTTTAAATGGTGAAAATGACTAAGAAAATTGCTTAGTTATCTAAAATGGCTGAGGTGAGAACTAGGATATATTATATAATTTACTTAGGAAGTTAGTCATTTCATTTACAAATGAAATATTGGGCTCCTCATTTTAGTAGACCTGTCTGATTTGGTTTTATTTATGTCCTATCAAAATGTAATGAAGGTATTGTGAATTCAAATACACAAGAGTTTCAACTTCACTTCAGGAGAAATAATCTTTTGCTTCCATTAGGTAGCATTTGTAAGTAACGTACTTTTCTGTTTTTGTTTGTCTGTTTTAGTTATTAAGTCGAAAAGATAAAACTACCTTTGAAAAATTAGAATATGTAATGAGCAAAGAAGATAACTACAAAAGACTCAGAGAATATATCAGTAGCTTAAAGATGACACCTTGCATTCCCTATTTAGGTGAGTCACATCACGGTATTCCTTATGCCTTGTCTTTGCTCTGACTTAATCAGCAATTGATCTGAAATTCAAATTTTTTCTTTAAGTATGTACTCTTTAAGTAAATTACTGAAAGATTGTTGAGCCAAAGAAAATTGGCCAAAGTAAATTATTGTAATTACCTGGGAAAATGTATTTTTATACTAAATTAGCCTCTGTCCTTAAAGTTTTCTTATAGACTTATAATTTTCCACAAACAAAAACCATATGGTAAGACTGTAAGTTCCAGCGATTGTAGCTATTCATGGAATGAAACAGTAGTTTGTAATGAAACGTATACAACAAAATATTGTATTGTAACTAAAACCGATCAGGTCGTGTGTTGAATTTACTTTCAGCACTGTGATGAAGTCTTACTTTATGTGATTGGCATTGATTCGTTAGAGTCACTGGCAGGTTCTGATTGACCACATTATATGCTATAGCTGTGTGTGTAATCATCTGTATCACATGTACTTATCATGCCAAAATACATGCTTCACTTGCTTTCCTCGTACATGTATTTAAGTAACATAATATAGCCTTCCAACTCAATCCTGCAGCATCGCTCTCTCTCAAATAAATTACACTCACCTCAAAAATGAAAATGAAAAAGAATCCCAGACAACCTGTAGCAGAGGGGGCTTCTCAGCTGGGAGTGGAACTGAACTGAGCCAGTCTGAAGCCCAGAGATAATGAAGTCAACCCTGATGGCCCATTTGAAACTTGCAATAGGTATCATTCAGTCCTCATCTGAATTTCCTGGGAGTTGATGATAAATATTAATTCTCCCTGAATAACAACAGGCTCTCGCTTTGTCTTCTACATTTCTGGCTTATGTTTCATTGACCCCTCTTGTAAATTGTTTCTTCTAAAAGTGTCAGTCCATTTTTACTCTGCCCTCTCACTTGGAATGGTCTCGTCCAGTTTTTTTTCCCCATTTATCAACAAATGGCTTCAAAATCTAGACCCAAACTCATGGCCGTTGAGTTGATTCTGACTCTTAGTGACTCTATCAGACAAAATAGAACTGTCTCTTTGGGTTTCCCGAGCTTTAAGCCTTTACAGAAGCAGATGGCCTCACCTTTCTTCTGTGGGGTGAATGCTGGGTTTGAACCTCTAACTTGTGATTAGCAGCTCAGTGTGCTCGACATATTTATTCATTGTATATTAGCAATCTCAGCTCTTAAGCTTCAGGAGGACAGGAACTATGTTTAATGTTAGTTCCTGGGGCTTAGTAACACTTTAGGTACCAAATACTACTGCATGTTCAGAGGTAAATTCATTACCTTTCCTCTAAACCTGATCATTTTTCTTAATCATTTTATTTGGGGACTTCCTTGCTCTGCTCCTCTTGCTGTTCTGTTGCACATCCTTAGTGTTTTGCTTTGGTGTGGGGGGTCAGATCAGGTGCAATTCCCACACTGTCTCCAGTGTTGTCCCCTGTAGGGCTATGGGTCAGTGAGGTTCATCATGTCTCATAGTGGGGCTGGCCCTATGGTCTTCTGTGTGCTTTGGCTGCCCTGAGCAGGAATATTGTCCTCAGGGCCTGCTGGGCCAGGATGTGCTCCACTCTCTCTCTCTCCCCCTTCATTTCTCCTGTGTGCTCTGATCAGACATGTCCCTCTCCCTGAGCTGTAGCTTCAGTGCTGTCCTCTGAAGTGAATTCTTCTGTGGGGAGGGGCGGCTATCCAGGTAGCTGGGATTGGGCCCGGCCCCTCAGACCTGTACGGTAAACCCTGGTCTTCTTTCCACACTCGGTCTCCCAATGACCACATCTATTTTCTCCATTACTGGTGGCACAGGGGTTCAAGCTCCCCCATGGCTCTGCGGCAGGAAGGTTTGTTTTATCTGCTCCCGGAAAGATGTACAGATTTGGAGACCTATGTAAGGGCAACATGAGTTGGAATCAGTTTGATGGCAGTGTGTTTGGGCATTAAACTAAAAACCTGGGATTTTGTTTCATAGCAAACGTTGAAATTAAATCTTAATTAAATTTTAATGAGCCTCCCAAAACATAGCTAGGATACGTGAGCAGATCTCTTTTTTTCAACCCTTTCACTGCTTGACTTCGATTGTAGACTGCCCCCGATCATCAATACTAAAGTGTTTTGAAGAATGAAGATTTGACAAGAGCTTAGATCCCATTAATAGTTACATTTTTTCACATTTTGTTTTCCTTTGAAATAAATTTAGATTGTAGTTTTTAGTATAACTGATCCTGATAACAGAATCCTTTCCCATTCATATGGAAAGAAGCCTAGTGCAATTGCTTAATCATTTCCGTATTTCCTAGGCCAGAACTTACCCTGGAGACATTTGGAAAACAATACCCATCATACAGATTTTTTTTTAAAGACTGAATATTTGATTTTATTTCAAAATGATAAATAAATTGCGGCAGAGTTGTGACCATGTTGTCAAATTCTTGGCTTCTATTTAATTAGTTGTGTGTAAGTGTACATAAGTTACATCAACTACCCTTTGTTCATTGTGTCTCCGAAAGCTCTAATGGAAATAATATATCAACCAAAATCTTCTTTTGTACTGAGAGACTGGTAAAAGGTTGGTCATCTGTTTCTTAGCATGAGAGATACGGTCCATACTAACCTCTCCTAAAAATAATGATCAAAACTAACCATTCTGTGTGAATGTGTGGGAGTTTAAACACTGACAGAATTCTTATTTTGATGCCCTCAGAATTCTCTGTAATTTAATGTGTATTAAATTTTAAGAAGTACAAAATGTTTTCTCGACCTCCAGCTCATCATCTGTTGAAAAATTCTCTCTTCTGTTGGTTTGCGTTCAAGGTAAAAATTAGTCAGCCTAGACAATACAGTGAAAGATTCTTAGAAGAAGGGTAAAAACATTTGTCTGGAGCCGGAGAATTTGGCAAATCTCAAGGAAAAATTGTTTTATAGGAGAATTACTACTCTAAGTCTGAAAATCATTAGCAGTACTCATTTGTTCTTGTCACTGGAGAATAATCTTAAGGGGTCTGTTGAAGAATTTGGCATGGAAAGTTTTGCTTTGCTGCAGAAAGAAAAATAGAACCCTGTGGAAAAATAATATAGTTGTATGAAACACAAATTCTCTCATGCATTTTCTTGCCTCTTTTCTGCTTTCTCCATGTACTGGGAAGGTGCAGTAGCTCAACCAGTGTAAGATGCTTTCTTGGGGAAAGACAGCATGTTTTTAAAACTACAGAATTAAGCCAGTGGTTGTAGTTCTCTGTGTTGTTTCCTATGGAGTAGTGGCAGAATGTTAGAGAAGTTTTTGCAAAACTCCTAGCCCTTCTGTAGGAAATGTGCTATATATACTCGAGTATAAACCGACCCGAATATCCGCTGAGGTACCTAATTTACCACAAAACTGCATTTAAAAATGTGCTGAAAAACTTGGCTTATACAAGAGTATAGACAGTAGATAAGCTGTTTTGATATACTTACGTTTGATGTCGCCTCACTCTTTTAGACTGCACTGCCCCCTGGAACTACCCCCCCCCCCCAGCAATATATAATGTTCAATGTGGTATCCCAAAATTTAGTAATAGGACCTTTTTTTCCAGAAGTGAAATGTAATAAAACTGCCCTTACCGTGATGCTTCTTAATAATCTGTCTCTGCCTCTGCAGAATGTAAATGCTTATTTACCTTGGTTTAGGGCTTTATTCTTAGTATCTAGATTCCCATTAGGCACTTAAGGAATAGTTGATGGCAGAATTATTTAAGTCCTCTCTTTACTGTGCTTTGCATTGTTCCAGTGACATATATAAATTGCTCAAGGTAACTTTGTTTCCATTTTTTTATATGAACCCAATGAATTTGTCTCTGTGGACTTAATTTTCTGCCCACCCCAGTTTTCTTTCTGGTGCACCCTCCATGGAACCTCTAAAAATCCCCTTGCCATGTAGTTGATGCCGACTCATAGAAGCCCTCCAGGACAGGGAAGAACGGCCCTGTCGATTTCCGAGGCTCTAACTCTTCACAGGAGTAGAAGCGTTTCTTTCCTGAGGAGCGGCTGGAGGTTTCAAATGGCTGACCTTGCAGCCAGGGCTGTTAGCCATCCAGCTCACCAGTGTCTGCTAAACTTAAATGGGCTTCGTCCCTGGCTCACGGAACTTGTCTCCTCATTGTGACGGTTCGGGTTGATAGCAATACCTAAGGAGGAACTCCCCATCTAGTTGCTTCCTGCCCCGGGTGGTGGCCCACGGGGCAGTGTTGACCCCCCACGGGTTTCCAAGGCGGCCATCTCCAGAAGCAGACCTCCAATCTTCCTCCTGCCAGGTGGCTGCGCTTCCACCGGTCACTCGGTTGAACCACCGGGACTCAGTCCTTAAAGGCATCTCCTGAATGAGCTCTCCTGCGGGCGTGGCAGCAGTGCATCCTCTTGACTTTGCTTTGTCTCTGGGGTTGGTGATAGCCTCGCCAGAGTGGATGGAATTTTAACAGCGCGCCTCAACTTAACAAGTCTTCAGAATTTTATCTGCTCCTTTTACTCAGTGCCTTTTACCTAAAATTGAAATGTTGGATAGATACCTATCTCATTAGAATACAAATTCCATTCCATTGGTTTTAGAAATGGCTGACCTATGTGCAAATATGAAAAACAAAACAAAAAAAAACAGTAGCTTCCTGTTCACGTTTCTACAGAGATGATTTCAACAAAGCTGCAGGCTTTCTGCACCTCTCTCGGGCGTTTATCTTCTCCATTAGTCGAAGTTTATTTACCAAGTTTCTGACAACTGTCCGTGAAAATACCTGCCGTTCAAAACATGTCATTGGCTTTCACGTCTTGAGAGCTCGTTTTCTTCCACTTCCCTGTGCCTGGTTTGGTGGTTTGGTTCGAGGGTCCCGTGCACACAGGGTTTGCTTTTCCCTGTTCTGCTAGTGAGGTTCTGTGTTGTATTCCGAATCAGCAATTTCAGCATGTTTAGTCATTGAGTTCTGGAGCCTCTGACCTAATGGCAGCTAGCCCTGGCATTCTCTTTAGCCAAAATTGCATCCCCGCCTTCCATGACCTCATTTCTATATACATTTTTTAATATGTTTAAAATTCCTCTAAAATTCTCTCCTGGTCTGTGGGGTAATTTCTAAAGGTGAGTATTCTCAAACAGCCAGGAAGGGGAGCTGCCTTGCTTTCGCTGCCATGTTCTTAGTTTTTTCTAAGAGCCTACCCGATCTTGAGAAAAACAGAGTAGCAGCTGTACATATCTGAACTCCGTCGTCACAAACAGAATCACATTCCTTCCCCCAGTTCCCAGAGCTTTACACGGAGTGTGTGCGAATGTTGATAGCTCGGCCATCGTGTTTTGTTGTTGTTTTCTTTCCGGCAAATCTTAACAGGCACCCTGATAGGAGGGAGCTTCAAAAAGTTAATGGAAAATTCCCATTATCTTTCACCTCTGTTTTTCACAGACTTTCTGAGCCCCTTTCATGTTAACTTTAATAATTAACATTTAGTCTACTCTTAATCTTATATGCCCAAACTATACTCGACATAAATGATAATAAACAATGTTTTGGGAGGATAGTAGATATTATATTATTTGTATCTTGCAGGTCAAGAAACCGTCTAGGGAGTTTAAATCACATGTAGTAAAAATACGTATCATTCAAAGAAAGCATTTATGGATTTATATTCATATTTGGGGAATCTGTAGTTAGATGAAAAAAACTGGTTCATTCTTTCCGTCTTTCCTGTCACTAAATATAGAATTACAGTCTAATATTCCAGTGTACAATTTATTTACCCCACTTACAAAAATTGAAAAGTTAACTTTTATTTCTAGGTTGGGTTTTTTTGTTTGTTTTTTTGAGAAGTAGTGTGGCAGTGTAAGTGGAATTATTGTTTTCTTACAAGGTTAATCTTTCACAGATGATAAAAGACTGAAGATTTCTTTCGGTATAATATTTTAAAGACTTCTGATAGCACAGTGATTAAGAACTCGACTGTGAACTGAAAGTTTAGTAGTTCCAGCCCACCAGCAGTTCCACAATAGAAAAGACGTGGTGATCGTTCCCATAGAGATTTCAACTTGGGAAACCATTCTGTGGGTCAGTTCTCCTGCCACACAGGGAAACGTGTCAGGAAGCAACTTTACAGCTGTGGGTTTGATTTTGCTGTTTTACTCAAGGAAAGGTGCCATGCTAGACAATGCAGGCTATGCATAGATGTGTAGTAATGATGGTAATGGCTAGTCTACTAGTACATTATTCGTAATAATGTATAGCATACATTCCCAAACTGACTTGACCTACTGCCCCCTTAAATAAAAACATTATGCTGTGCTGCCCTGACTACTGAAAACATTTGAACTACCAGAATCTAGGACAAAGTGCAGGAAGATGCTTTTGCAGTCCCCCTGGTTCGTGCCAGTGTCCACTAGAGGGGTGGGATCACCCACTTTGGGGAACATTGGACTACCCAAGGCCGTCTGTCCTTAAGCTGCTGAGATATAGAAAAAATCTGACAATTTCTAAAGTTGTTTTACTTTCACCTGTAACATCTGTAAAGTTTTCTTACCCACTGCCCCCTACCTCCAGATAGTAAGAACTAAGGTATCCGGGAAGGGTGGGGAAGCTGATATATCAAGGAGTCCTAGTGGCACAGTGGTTAAAGCACCCCGCTGCTAACGGGGCCATTCTACTCTGCCTGACAGCATTTCTCTTAGTCAGGTTTGGCGGCAGTGGGTTTGATTTGGTTTGGTTTTATTCATAAATAAGCTTAGAATTAAGAGTCGGGTCCATAAAATCTTTAGCCTTCTAAATAGTCTGAACTCTTATAAATTAGTAATTGGCGGATTTCATAACCAAAATGCATTTCAGGAGATTATTGTCACAATCAGATTTAATTATGTGACAAGGACAAATTCAATTGGAAATAACTTTTATTCAATGCAAAATGTATTTTCTACTGGCAAAATTGGAGTTTTCTCTCTAATTTCCTGTCTAGATATTTATAAATAAAATATACTGGTTGGTTGAACTCTTAAAAATTATTTTTCCCCCTGAAAATTCAGACAATCTTAAAACGCTTTTAAATAAGTTGTTAAGTACCAAGAGCCATGTATTCCATTTTGATTTAAAATAAAACTAATACTTGTTTTACATTGTCGCAGATATTTACATTCTAGAAACAAGCTTTACCTGTTGATAAAGTTTCCAAAATTACTAGGATGTAGAAACAAATAATCTTCCGCAGGGTATTGAAGGAAGAGGAAGCAGCATTTATACATCCCTTTTATAGTTACAGTGAAATCCATTTTAAAAACTATCTGTCAAATTGCAGGCAATAATATACATGTAACATTTACATTTCTAAGAACTGGAAAGTGCAGTTCCAGGTCAAATTGGAAGACTGTCTCTTTAGTCAATGGGCTTGATCATCATCCGCACTGCTCTCAAGGAATAGGACCCGCCTCTGTATTCGGCCCAGAAAATCCCGTCTTGGTGCTTGCTTCTGTAGTGGCCGCCTCTGTACCACACGCCGTTTAAGTTAGAATGGGCACAAGCATTGTACCACCAGCCTCCTTTATGAAAGTGGGCGCAGTTGCCTTAGAGGGGAAAACGTAGATGTCAGAATAAGGTTTATTCCAAACATGGTTCTCAGCAAACCGCTGACAACTTGTTCTGCCAGTGTAGCAACTTCTCTTCTTGATCTCAGTCACCCACATCTTAGCGTGCTTTCTCATGGGCTCTCCGTGACTCGCCTTTGGATTACTTGTACAATGCATGTGTGTGAGAAGGGTGGCCAGCGAGCGAGTGCCAAGACGATGTGCTCCTACCCCAGACTGCCAAAGAGCTTGACTCCTCCCCCTTTTATTCTTGTGTTTCCTTCTCCATAGTGATTCCTGCTGCCCCTTACCAACCAGGTCTGCCTCATCCCCTGTGGCTCATTACTTTCTCACTCCCTCTCTTGGAAGTTGACGCAGCTTCACCTGACACATCATTTTGTCTCCTCTTGCTCAAGTGAAAGCCCAAAGCCTGCACCGCCCTAACCCCGGCCCTTCCCAGCCCTTGGTTTCCGAGTACTCACCTGTATACATGTCTTTATCTCTGTCCAGTGTTGTGAACTGTTTGCCATTGTGCCACATCAGAGAATCCCCTGCATTGCCCTGGTAAGTGCCCAGACGCAGTCTATAGAATTCACTTTCAGGTTCCAGGCGAAAGCTGCTGTATTCTGCATAGACTTTTTTATCACTCCAATCTTCTAATTCAATCAGCAGCTTGTAATTATCTTGATTGCTAAGCATATAGATATTTTCCAGTCCAAGCCAGTATTCTCCATCAATGTTCCCAAACCCTTTCTGTTAATAAACAAAAGCCATCAGATTGTAAGAAAATGGAGAGATATTACAACATTAAGGTAGTGGTCATTTAAATGGTGATAAAAGCTTCCATTTCAGTTGGTCACCTGCTCTTTTCAAAAGCCTCCCCCAAATCACATTTTTTTTCTTTTGCTCTCTCTTCATAGAGCAGCATCTATTTGCCTGGCTAGTTTTCGAACTTGTCAGAGCTACTGAAAACATGAGCCAACCAACCAACCCCAAGTGTCTCTCATACAAAGCACCTTTTTTTTTCTTTTTCTAAAAATATATGGATACACGGTCCCCATCATAGCCAAACAGAAAGGATATCGAGCACATTGTTATGGCTACTCATTAAAAATCCTAGTACTGTTGGGAGGTTTCATTAGTAATTTAAACTGTTGAATTTAAGGTTGATGATTTGAAGTATAAACTGCCACCTAATTTACCCCCTTAAAAAATAAAATCATAGGATTTATTTTTAGAATAGCTCTATTAAGATCAGATTAGTAAATTAAAGGTCACTGCTCAATAGTCTTATAAGTATTCCCTTTGAAAATATCTAATGTTTAAAATAAATTGAAAAACATGAACCTATTTAGTAAGCACTTGGCACTGCATATGTACAACAAAATACAGGGTCTGTAAACTTAACACTGTAGCTCCATCTTGTTAGGGGCTGTGCTGAGGGTTTGTTCCCTGACTCAGTCATGGTAGTTCTGAGATTTACACAACTCTTAGGGATGCATCAAATGCTCACATTTTAGCTGCCAATAACATTTCGCCTAATAGTGAGTAGACACATTACTTTATCATTTTATATGGGGAATTAACCATCTAGGAAATACAGATGAAAAAAATAATAAACATCTTAAAAATAGAAACTAAACAAATATAAAGACAAGTGAAATAGAAAGTAAGTCAAGCACTTTTCATCAAGCTGGTAGAAACGTCACCTAAACTTCACTACTAATACACTCTGTTAAATGTAATTCCTCAGGATAGACAAAGCTCTCAGGAACAGTAGTGAGAGTAGCGATATCATAAGGGCAGGGGGGAGGGGGACAAAGGGGGAACCCATCATAAGGTTGGATATATAGCCCGCTCCCCACCCCAAGGGGACGGATGACAGAAATTTGGGTGAAGGGAGAGAACGGACAGTGTAAGATACGAAATAATAATAACAATATATAATTGATCAAGGATTCACAAGGGTGGGATGGTGGTGGAGGGAGGAGAAAAAAGACGACCTTATACCAAGGACTAAAGTAGAAAATGTTTTGGAAATGATGATGGCAACATATGTACAAATATGCTAGATACAGTTGATATATGGAATATTAAAAGAGCTGTAAGAGCCCCTAATAAAATGATTTATAAATAAATAAATGTAATTCTTAATAAAATTGACTGAGATTTTATTTAAGAATATATATATTTTTAATTTTATTAGGGGCTCATACAACTCTTATCACAATCCATGCATACATCAGTTGTGTAAAGCACATTTGTACATTCATTACCCTCATCATTTTCAAAACATTTCCTCTCAAAACATTAAGCCCCTGGCATCAGCTCCTCACTTTTCCCCCTCCTTCCCTGCTCCCCTCTCCCTCATGAACCCTTGATAATTTATAAATTATTATTTTGTCATATCTTGCCCTGTCTGACATCTCTCTTCACCCACTTTTCTGTTGTCCGTCCCCTAGGGAGGAGGTCATATGTAGATCCTTGTTACCAGTTCCCCGTTTCCAACCCACCCTCCCTCCACCTTCCTGGTATCGACACACGCACCACTGGTCTTGAAGGGATCATCTGTCCTGGATTCCCTGTGTTTCCAGTTCCTATCTGTCCCAGTGTACATCCTCTGGTCTAGCCAGATTTGTAAGGTAGAACTGGGATCATGATAGTAGGGGAGGAGGAAGCATTTAGGAACTAGAGGAAAGTTGTATGTTTCATCTTGGCTACATTGCACCCAGACTGGCTCGTCTCCTCCCCGCGACCTTTCCATAAGGGGATGTCCAATTGCCTACAGGTGAGCTCTGGGTCTCCACTCCACATTCCCCCCCTCATGATAAGATTTTTGGTTCTGATGATACCTGATCCCTTCGATACCTCGTGATTGCACAGGCTGGTGTGCTTTTTCCATGTGGGCTTTGTTGCTTCTGAACTAGATGGCCACTTGTTTATTTTTGAGCCTTTAAGACCCCAGATGCTATATCTTTTGATAGCCAGGCACCATAAGCTTTCTTCACCACATTTGCTTATTCACCCACTTTTGTCTTCAGCGATTGTGTCAGGAAGGTGAGTATCATAGAATGCCAGTTTAATAGAACAAAGTATTCTTGCATTGAGGGAGTACTTGAGTGGGAGGCCCAATGTCCATCTGCTACCTTAATACCAAACCTATAAATATATGCACATAGATCTATTTCCCCATCATGTACATGCCTTTATTTAGACCTCTAAAATGCCCTTTGCCCCCGAGCTCTGTCCTATTTCCTTTGACTTTCCTCTTGTCCCACTATCATGCTCAGTCTTCATTTGGGTTTCAGTAATTCTTCTTGGTTACATTACCCTTGATCATCCCTTACCAGGCCTCCAAAACCCTCCTCACCACCAATTTAGATCACTTGTTGTTTCCTTGTCCCTGGGTTTGTTAACACCACTCACTACCTTTAAGAATCTTAATTTTATCCCCTCTCTCAGCTTTTGTTAAATTGTGGAAATTTACACCACTCATATGATTAGCATGACCAACATCAAAGTTAATAGTAAGAGCTCTGAGGGGCTCTCGTGCTGCATCACCCTAACATCTGCTGTCATAACCTGAGATGTGGTGGCAGCGTGTTTATCAGAGGTGAGGACTAAATTTGTCCAGGAAAGGAGGTCCTTTTCTTGAAGTTTGTTCACTATACCGCTTAAATATGCTTGATGGCAGATTGCATCAGGTACATAGGCAAACAGAAATCATGGGTCTTAGAGAATGTGACTAAGCGCAGTCTCTGCAGTCAACAACTGAATCCCCCAGAGGGCAAGAGGGCATTTTAAAGTACATTTTTCATTTTTTTTCATTTTTAACCCTAAAATTTTTACTTCAAGTCTAGAAATGAGGATTATATTTTGACAAATATAGATGACGGAAAGTGCAGTTGTTTAAAAGAAACTCTGTATTGTGTCTTATTAACCTAGAGTGGATCTGTTGTCAAAGCTTCTCTGCTCTACCCCCACGTTTGAACCATTGATTTACCTTATAGTTTTCCCAGTTTCTGAAGAAGTTGACAGAGCCGTCTGTTCTTTTCTGAATGATGGTCCAACCCCCGGGTTCCAAACTGTTCTCACACCATAACTGCATTGCTCCGTTGCTGTTTTCAGGTTTAATCATATAAATCCCACTGACCGGATGTCCAGCCTCTTTGGCTTGCTGACAGTCTTTGAATGGTCCTGTGGTTTAAATATCACTGATTACTGGGACACTTAATATGAAAGAGCCATATGAAAGCAGTCTTAATCCAGAGCTTTACTTTGTATCTTTCTTTACAGTTGCCAGTTTTTATTCATTGCTTACAACAATTTATGAAGGTTAAAATAAAAGATTTAAATGCATAATTACAGCAGGCCTATTACCTGAAACACGAACTTACTTCACTTTTTTTAAGCCTTTGTGCACATGCGTTTACCGTCCTAGCACGCGTAGAAAGTGGGAATCTGTCTTTTTAGTGTAGCAGTCTTATCCACGGGGCTGTAGCTTCCATTCTCGCTATCTCCAGTAGCTGTATTCATAGTCCTTCAAGGTGGTATATTAATGTTTATTGAGTCATTGAACCTTTATCTGGATTTTACTGCTTTAAAGAACACTGCAGCGTGTCTTTATTCTCATTGCCTCAACTTCTTGACATTATCTTGGACAAAGGGCCCGGACAAAGGGCCCTGAGCCGTGCAGCAGGCTGCTGTCCTGCTGCTCCATGGCAGGAAGATGGGACGTCTGTGCCGGTCAAGGTTTACAGCCTCGGAAACCCTTCTCTGCCCCATGGAATCACTCTGAGTCAGAATCATCTCGATGGCAGTGGATATGGGTATCTCGGACATTGTAGAGGTGTGTGTGTGTGTGTGTGTGTGTGTGTTCATTTTATTGGGGACTCGTACTGCTCTTACCACAATCCACACATCCATCTATTGTGTCAAGCACATTTGTACATTTGTTACCATCATCATTTTCCAAACATTTTCTTTGTACTTGAGCCCTTGGTATCAGCTTCTCGTTTTTTTCCCTTCCCTCACCCCTCCTTGAACCCTTGATAATTTATAAATTAGTATTATTTTTTCATGTCTTACACTGACCGATGTCTTCCTTCACCCACTTTTCTGTTGTCCGTCCTCCTGGGAGGGGGCTATAGGTAGATCATTGCGATTGGTTCCCCTTATCTCCCCCACCTTCACCTTCTCCTCCTGGTATGGCTACTTTCAATATTGGTCCTAAGGAATTTACTTGTCTTGGATTCCCTGTGTTTCCAGCTCTTATCTGTACCAGTGTACATGCTCTGGTCTAGCCAGATGTGTAAGGTAGAATTGGGGTCATGATTTGGCGGTGGGGGGCAGGGGGAGGAAGCATTGAAGAACTAGAGGAAAGTTGTATGTTTCATCAGTGCTATACTGCACCCTGGCTGGCTGGTCTCCTCCCCGAGACCCTTCTGTAAGG